CAGAGTCTACTTCAGTGTCTTGCAGCATGTCAAATTCTGCATATCTTCTGGAGACGTTTCTTATTCTTTGTGGTCTCTGAACTTGTTCAGAGTCTTGAGCTTCAGATGATTGACTTCCTCAAGAGCTTTGACCATCTTTAGGGTCTGGCATATTTCCAGAGTCTTGAACTTCAGAATTTCTAGCTTCAGAGGCTTGACTTCCTCCAGAGCCTTGGCCATCTTCAGAGTCTGAATTGCCACCAGAATCTGGATTACCATCAGAGTCTGGATCATCAGAGTCACCTTCATCTTCTGAGTCTTCTCCAGAGTCTGAATCAATATCAGAGTCAGAGTCAACGTCAGAGTTTACTCCAACTTCAGAAATTCTTAACTCTGACCTTTCTTCAGAAGTTCTAACATCAGAATCAGATTGAGACTTATCCCAATTCCAAACTTCTGATTCCTTCACAATCACATCTCTGCTGAATTTAATTTTATTGGTTTCTGGACAATAGAGCTTGTATGCACCTGTATTGTGGTACCCTATCATAATCATCACTTTGCTTCTATCATCCAGCTTCTGTCTTCTGGCTTCTGGAGCATGTTTATAGCAAACAGAACCAAACACCTTCAAATGACTAACACTTTGCTTATCTTCAGTCCACTTATGTATCGAAACTATTTCCTTCAACTTCTTCGTAGGACAACGGTTGAGTACATACGTTGCAGTGGCAACAACTTCTCCCCAGAGCTTCTGAGGAAGCTTCTTCTCCTTTAGCATGCTTCTCACCATATCAAGCAAAGTGTGGTTTCTTCTTTCAGCAAGACCATTGTGTTGATGGGTATAAGGAGCATTAACCTCATGCTCAATTCCATTCTCCTCACAGAACTTCTGGAATTCTTTAGAGTTATACTCACCTCCACTGTCAGTTCTAAGAATCTTCAACTTCTGACCACTCTGATTTTCAGCCTTCATTCTGAACTTCTTGAATTCATCAAACACCTCGTGTTTAAACTTAATAAAGGATACCCATGTCATTCTTGTGAATTCATCAACAAACAACACAAAGTATTTATTCCCTCCAATTGATGCTACTGGAAATGGACCACACACATCAGAATGTACAACTCCCAAGGCATGTTTTGCTCTTGGAGCAGCTTCTGACGCAAATGACAATCGTGGTTGTTTTCCTTCCATGCAAACTTTGCATGACTTTTCAGGCTTCTTAATTGCAGGAATTCCATGTACCAACTTCTTTGAATTCAAATGTTTTAAGCTTCTGAAATTCAAATGACCAAATCATCTGTGCCACAGCTCACTCTCCTTCTCAGCACTTGTTGCACTAAGACATTCTGAGTCTGCAGTTCTGACATTCACCTTGAATGTTCTATTCCTTCCCTGTTCTGACTCCATAATCAACTTCTGATTGCAGTCATACAACTTTAGAAGATTGTCCTTCATGGTAACTGAATATCCTTTCTCAATTAATTGTCCCACACTCATCAGATTGCTTTTGATGCCAGGTACATACCACACGTTCTGAATCAATGCTATTTTCCCATTGTTCAGAATCACTCTGACATTTCCCATACCTTCTGCGTTAAGGTATTTGTCATCAGCACATCTGATCTTTGTCCTCTTTTCAGAGTCAAAGTCAACCAGCCATTTTTTGTTTCCAGTAAGATGATTTGAACAGCCAGTGTCCATATACCACCAGTCTATCAGATCCATATCATCAAATTCAGAGGCCATTAATAGCACAGATTTGTCATCAGAACTTCTGGCTATATTTGCTTCTTCTGATTTTCTCTCCTTGTTTGACCAACAATCTCTAGCAAAGTGACCAAACTTCTTACAACAGTAACATTGGATCTTTTTCTTGTCATACTTCTCTTTTCCCTTCTGAGCATTCTTTTGTATATCAGAGGTTGAACTTTCTGACTTCTGACCACCATCAGATATTCTCCTGGCTTCTGACTGCTTCTGATACCTCCTATCAGAAGTTTCTTTCAGAGCCTGCTGCTCTACTTCCCATTCAGAAGTTCTCTCAGTCAAATGCAACTCTTGCGCTTCTAGACTGCTCTGCAGCTCTTCAATTCTCATGGTGCTCAGATCTTTGGAATGTTCTATTGCTACCACAATGTAATCAAATTGAGAGGTAAGGGATCTCAATACTTTCTCCATGATTGCTTCTTCAGAAAGAGTTTCTCCACACGCCTTCATCTCATTAATGATCAGAATCATTCTGGAGATGTATTTAGAGACTTTCTCATTATTCTTCATGTTGAGATTCTCATATTGCTTTCTCAAGGACTGAAGCTTCACCTTCTTCAATAATGCGTCACCACCATAACATCTCACCAGTGTGTCCCACGCAGCCTTTGCTGTCGTTGAATATGCAATCTTCTAAAACACATTTACATCCACACATTGATGAATGAAGAACAATGCTTTCTGATCCTTCTTCCTTACTTCCTTCTGCGCATTTTTCTGTTCATCCGTCGCATTTGCTGCTATCGGAACATAACCATCAGTGACAAGATCTAGAACATCTTGAGCACCAAATAGTACACGCATTTGGATCATCCAACGATTCCAGTTTTTACCGTCAAATACTGGAAGTTTGGTGTTCATGTTGCCGTTTCCGTTCATCTTCTACCTTGCACAATACACTCAGATTTCTCACACAGTGTTTCCCAACCCACAAAATTAAAATTCTGATCAGATTTTGTTCAAGATTCAACACGAATCTAAGAAACAAAATCAAACACACAAGGCCTCACGTTCACTCGTGTTTCCCAATGAATCCGAACCGGAGCTCTAGATACCAATTGTTGGTGCAAAGGTAGAATAAATGATGAATAGAGAAATATTCTATTAAGAGAATGACGGCTACACACAACCACACAAATTGCAATGATTGCTACCCTATTTATAAGCTAACACTAGGGTTACTAGAATAAGATAAAAATACTAAAATACCCTCTAACAAACTTGAGGGCTAAGAAAATAGTACAACTAATAAATATGAATTACTTCTAATAGAAAATACCCTTTATCCTATCTTTTAGGTCAAAGAGTCGTCGTACTCTATTTTAGGGTTTCCCGCCGGGGAATCCCTAATTTACCCTTTCATTTCAATTTACAAATTCAACGTAGAAATAGGAGTTTCAAAACTCCACGTAAGCGTGTCCTTAAGATACGTTTATTCCCCTTGAAACCTTGACCACAGTCCAGAAGTTTCTAACCTCCCTTTCGAGGGGAACTACGATTACTCTGATTCCATTCCCTATCCAGGATACGTAGGCACAAGATGCGAATCTTGTCGAGTAAACTTAGAACTAACCCTTAGGTCTTTTAGGTCACTTTATCCCTTAGCTCAATATATATTAAAGCAAATAATAAATAAAAATAAAAGGCATACAATAAACAAAAAGTTCCTGTAGAGTACTACAGAAGTTTAGGGTGCTAGTACCTTTCCTAAATTTAACCAACCCCTTACCTAGGTCTCTCCCCGTATTGTGTTTACGATGCAAAAATAGGTTTTCCCTCTTTTGACTTTTTCCTTCGGATAAATCAAAGAGTGGTTGTGAATCAAGAATTATGATTCAAACTAATTAATAGTTTGATATCCTATTTCCATCGCAACAATGAACATTTAAACCTCGTAACTTTTTGTCTTTTATGCAACTTTGTTGACATGGTAAAAAGACAATATGATGATGTATGGTGTGATATGTGTGTAATGACATGAACATGAAAAAATGAGATATTTTGTTTTGTCTTTAGTGTAAAAAGGTAGTTTTTTGAATTAACTTGATGAAAAAGAAATGATATGGGATGATGCATGAATTTTGTTTTGTCTTTAGTGTAAAAAGGTAGCTTTTTGAATTAACTTGATGAAAAAGAAATGATATGGGATGATGCATGAAGTAATATGAATAAAAATGAAAACTAAATATCTTTTAATGAAAATTTGTCTTTGGAAATAATATTGACCTGATCTTGACTTTTGAAAAAGAAAGGGATTGGTTTAAGATTTTTTAGAAGTACAAAATATGAAAAAAATGATAATAGGGATGACATGATATTTGAAAAATGCAAAAGAGAATAAATGGATAATTTACATGACAATTACATGATTCTCATCGTTAAACAGAAGGTGTGCCTCTCCGGTTGGTAGGATGAATTGTCACGCAGGAAGTACATAGAAATTTGATATTGCCAATGTGAAATTGTTGAGTATGATTCATATTTTGGAGATTATTATGGATATTATTGAAATAACTATGAGTAGAGATAACTATTTGTTGAGAGTAACTTTATATTAGAGTTTAGGTAAACTCTGATACCTGAATCCTAATTTATAACACATAAATAAAATGAATTATAGTTCCTCTATAGTCGCAATTTACAGAGATAGACACCATTAATCAAACTACGTTAACAAATGTCAATCGTGTTCATTGTCTTTTACTTCCGTTTATCTTTAATATTTTATAATGGTTTTAGCTACGGTAAGTTTGTTGGATTTTTCCTATTTAAGAAGTCCTTAGCCTTCTATCAAAGTATATAATGACAATTTACACAATAATAAATGTAACCATGTATTCTTAATGTGTAATTATCACATTAATACTTATACCAGGTTTTCACCTATGCACAAAGATTACAGCTCATATCTTTCTATTGAAACTGAGCAGAACTCATGTTGAAGCAAACACAAAGGATCATTGGAAACAACTCATGAATGCAGAATTAGATGCTCTCCAATCAAACATCACATGGAAACTAGTTAGTTTACCATCTGAAATAAAAGCCTATAGGAAGCAGATTGGTTTTCAAAATCAAGAGAAAGCAAGATGACACAGTAGATAGATACAAAGCAAGGTAACATTGCAATTTTTCACATCATGTGTACATTTACATCCATACTAATAATGATTCAAAAGACAACAAACAAACTCATAGATTTTCTACAAGCACTTCCAGAAAATAAAATAAAAACAAAAGGCTCAACTTACAACATACTATCAGTAAGAGCAGGCAACCTTCTGAAGAAATTAACTGGTGCAGGTGGTAACTTACCTCTTAACTTTGGGTGCCTCATAAGATAAAATCCAACCGAAAGAAACAGTAACTGAGAAGGTGTTACATACAATACAATTGCAGCCACAAAACAAAACAACATGAATATAGTTGTTGCGCGAGGATCCCTCCAGTTTAACAATGCATGTAGCCTCTCACCTTGTGTTGCTATGTCTCCAACAACACTTTGAACCTTTCCCGCCAAAATTCTCAACCGATCGTACCTCCAACGGACTATATCCTGGCTTTTCTTTGTTGGAAACAGATCAAACTCTTCGTCGAATTCGTCTGGATTTGTTACGTCGGTACAAGAAAGTTTTGTGTCCATGTGTGGAGGGTACCTCGGTCGAAACCTCCATTTCCATAGGCCTATTATGAACATGTAGAGAAACATGGTTGGTAGAATGAGTTGTGGGAAACAAACAAGCATCATGTAGAGAATGTGGACTAATACTGTTGTGACAGAATTTTTCCATGTTGAGATTTCCATTAACCAACTTCCAACTGATATTAGTCCCGAGAAAACTGATTTCAGACGGTTTATGTTCGCCTTGCTTCGTCTCATGCTCCATAGATGAGAGTCTGTATCAGACATGTACTCAACTACTTCTTTTCTAAGAGGTGGTTCTGTTCTGCTAAGTCTAGCTACAACAATGATCATAGCCTGGAGTTTCATCTTCTCTTGTTCGAAAATGTTGAGAGGTTTTGTGTAGTGCATCTTTGGCAAATGCGGTTTGAAATACAGATTAATCATGTTGGTCATTGAGGTACACGAGAAACGGATGGCTAAATGAACTTCACCCATTTTTTTAAGACCGGAGCTTTGCAGTGACAACAATGGATAAGAATGTGTGTAAATACGACCGGTTTCCAACGTTGAGAGCCTTATCCGAACCTTACCGATCTTTGAATCTTTGCTGTCATCGGAGTCATTAAGTTGTCCATTGTCAAACACACCAAGGGTGAGAACTGTGGATGGATCATGAACTTCCCAAGTGTACTGCTCATTGAACTTCGGGTTTAGACTGCCGACGACAGTTCGAGTTCGCACCCATTTGTGACCATATTTCGCCACACAGTATACATCTGATACCCCTCTTCCATCTCTAGTTTTGGTTGGTTGAACATCAGCATTCAAAATTCCCAGTTCCAATACACCAATTGGTTTCTTCCAAAGTTGTCTTGAAGTAGGCCTAAGATCACTGCTATAATAAGTTGATTCATCAAGCACATGGTAACCACCATCAAGAAAGACGCTAACATGAATTCGACTCGCGAACCTGTTTCTTTCCTTGTCCTTCATTTTCTTCTCTCCCTCTTCCATTGCTGATGACATGGACCTTGCAAGTGGATACCACCTGCTACGGATAGATCGGTCGTCAGCGCGCTTTTCCACTGACCCAAGAGGAATAACAATACTGCCAATAATCTCGTTCTTGTCTTCGACTGTTATGATCAACGGTTCTTCAAAAGGCTCAGCAGCGACAAACAGCGTACTTTGATCCCACTGAGGGTTATTGGCCCTTGATTGAACCGTTTTTGTCTTGAAAACCTGGTTACCATGTTGCACCTTAACATAAGCATCCACGGCTTTAGACTTATCGTCGGGTGAAACCAAGTCTTGTGCCTCGATCACTTTCACGCGCAGGTACCACAATCTCGGCGAGGTGTAGACTTTAGACCGAATCTGAGCATAGTTAGCTGAAAAGCTTCCAGTGGGGGACATTGCATCAGAATGCCAAGCATCAGGAAAAGCCTCATCAGCTTGTGTGCCATGCCAGACAGCAAGCATTATCTCTCCATTATTCATCATTTCGCCGTTTTTGTTCACAATCCTATACCATTGAGGAGCCAAAGGACTGTTCGGCGGAACACGTATAGGAACATCATACAGATCAAACCTCACAGTTCCAACAAGATCATCATGTATTGTGTCCTTGTCTTTGACAATAACTTCAAGAGTAGTTGCTTGTTGATTGTCCTTGGCAAATGCAAACACCTGGTTCCATTCAGGACTTTGGTTTTTCTCAAAGTGAGTTGTAGTTCCTTTGTAGTTTCCAACCTTCACCACCACATAGGGATCAAGGCTACCTGTCAAATCCATCCTCGGAAGGTCGCGAGCTTTCACAACTCGGGCGAAAAGGTATTCCATTGGTTCCACAAGGTCATAGGTGCTGCTAGGAAGCTTATTACTCCCGCGAATAACTCTTCCACCAACAACTTTTCCACCTCCAAGAGAAGGGCTAGTCTCTTTCAGTACATAGTCCATCGCAGTGCCTGTAAATGCTTTAACAGTTTTCGGAGCAGACTGTCCCGATTTCATCTCTTGCATCCCAAATGTCACACTTGATGATTTCTTTTCCTTTCCATCATTTGACTTAGGAAGGTTGTGAAATGTGTGCACTGACTCATTTTTCTTTCTTAACACATTGTTGAGGATTTGACTCGTAAACGAAGCTGGTACCGGTATTTGATCTTGCGTAACATTTTCATCTGTATTATTAATGAATCCGTCGAATATCGGTTCTTGCATAGCAGGAAGAGGGTTTGAGGCTCTTAAAGAAGGGTCGGCTGTAACAAACACTTTCAAACCAAGTTCACCTTTCGTGCCCGAAAAAAAGCCTTTCTTTTCAAGAGGATAGTGTAATACAACAGCATCCGAATACGAAACAAACGAGGTTCCGGTGAGCCTAACCTTACCAATCGGAGTTTTGGAGCCATTGTTTTTGTTGTTAAAGTGGTAGATGCAAGCATCAAGATTGAGACTTGGTAACATGCTTGGATCTGTGATGTTGAAATAAAAAATCTCATTCCAAATCGGACTAAGATCTTTATATTTAGTCGTGGTACGGAATTTCTGATCATCAAATTGAAGTTCTACAAAAGTAGTAGATGAACCTTGTCCATCTTTGGCCACAAGGTCATGAGCACCAATAACTTCAACACCAAGCTTGAGATTGTTCATTGAAATTACCTGAAAAATAAAATTCAAAAGTATTATTGTATCACATATAAATTTCAATAACCTTGTAATCTTCATTCATCAAGTAAAAACATGATATTTGCTTAATAACAGATATCATCATCGTTTGACCAAGGTTTTAAAAAAGTCCGCGACAACGAAAATGGGATAAAACAGCAGTTGCCGATACTGATACCGTTATTTACACTGAGACGACCGCAATTAGCGTCGCAACATCTCTACAGACCGAAATCGCGAAAGTCTTTACGCGACCGCAACGAGGCATGATATTTTAAATTTTATTTGATCATATTTTCTAACAGTAGTAAGGTGAAATCTTTTGAGATGCATAAATTAAAAAGAAAAACAAAAAGTCAAAGGAGTTGAATATTGACGTGTTAAACAAGTCATCCCTCAAGCAGAAGCAAGAAAGAGGATTTGAGAACATAAAATCAGACCAAAAAGCAAACAATCCCAAAGACTCAAACTTTAACGACTAATATATACAACAGATATTAAAAAAGACTCAAACTTTAATGACTAATATATACAACAGATAATAACTGAGCCACAAGTTGAAAGGGGTGAAGAAGAAGAAGATGAAACGTACGTACCAGGGTATGATTTGAAGAGGTGAGAAAGAAGTTAGAAACGGTTTTATGAGGTTGGAATTGGAAGTATAATAGAGGAAGAGGAAAAGGAGGGAGAAAGGAGTGGGTTCTGTGATGGTTGGTATGGTTTAATAAGAGAGAAAGAGAGACAGAGTCGTGAAAGTGACATGCTTTGACTAAACATTTTGATCAGAGATATAGAGTTGTAATACTCCTAATTATGAGAATGTTCGCTTGTTTATGTTTCTTGTGTTTCTTTCTGTTAGTTTAGTTTATTTAAGAGAACAACAACAACAGCAACCTTGGTCTTAGCTTCACTTTTTGTCTCAATTCTAACCGCGTTAAAATAAATACATAATTTATTAATTGTTCTTTTAATTGCAACTTTAATCTCCTTTTTTTTTTTTTTAATCTCACTCATTTTCAAAATTGGCGTTTTGGTCACTTTTAAAAAAGAAAAACGTTTTTCTCGATTTTAGTCCTCTAAGCAATGACTTGGCAATTTATTTTTATCATATCAGATTAATTAATAACATGTACAAAATTACAATTAATATTAATTAATAATTACTAATATTAATTATATTTTTTCAGAAATTAAGAAACTAATATTTAACACAAAATTGCAATTAGTATTAATAAAGAGATTATTACGGAAGTTCTCTCACATATTGACATTTGAAAAGAAAAGAAAAGTCGATTATTTGTATTCAATCTCTAGATACCTCAACTAGTAGGGTTTGAGTCAAATTTTTCCATTCTTCACTTTTTCTTCTCATGAGAATATCCGTAGATTGGGTTATTTTTTAGAATTTGCATTGTTTTTGATTCAAGTCTATTGGTCTGATAAATATGCACTGAGGTAATTGTTTGTGAATACCCTGTTTCTTTTTAAGGCACACTGTTTTAATATGATTATACCACTTTCTAACCATTTTGAGTCTAAATCTTTCTTTCGGTGACATAGTCATATTAATTAACAATTTGATTTAAAAGATTAAATCTTTCCACCCTATTTTTTAAGTTACCTTGTCTCATGCAAAAAGAATAAGGTTCAGGTTGCTATTGAAAGTTAACAATGTTTAAGTTTATGATTAGGGTAATAGAGAAATTGGTCAAAAAGAAAAAGAAAAATAAGAAGTTAAAAATGACTTATTCAATTTTTTTTTGTTGAGAAATAGGACCAACAAAAAAAAGGAAAGAATTCTCTAGTATCAAGTGAATAAGAAAGAGTGATATGACAGGATTCTGGTAACAAAAGAAAAACTAGGTACTTAAATCCAAAGGTTTAAGTCTACTTTTCTAAATTATCCTACCCTAATAAAAGTCACATTACATCCTTGAAAAGACCTCAAAAGCGTGTGTTGATTGTATGACTTATCCTACCTTGACTTTGATTCATTCTAAATTCATTGATTAAATGCTTTTGTATGTTGATTGTATGATTATCCTTTCAAATTGAGCGCTTATACCTGAGATGAGAGACAAGTTGAGTACTTCTATGTTCGGAAGAATTTTTCTGAGTTATTTGGATTGAAGTAGAGAACAGAAGTGTTGATAAGCAAAATAAGAATGGTGATGTGCATTGACAAGGGTAAACGTTTTAATTCTGATAAAAAATTTATTATGCAGATATGTTACTTGAGGACAAGAAACATAGTAACTTTTGGGTTGTGATGATAGTTGTCATAATATAATTTTTATGAATAAATTCAAAAGAATAATGAACAAAAATATTGCCAAAGTATGAAGAATAAAGAAAAAACTACAAAGAGTAGAAGAATTGGGACTTTGTAAAATTTGAAGAAAAAGAGAAGAAAATGTTAGCTTTTGGCCCTTTAGATTTCATACGTCGCAATGCATTCCATCATGGTGCGATGAAAAGCTTATTATGACGCGATTGCACGAAAAATTCTGACACATTAACAGCTTTAAGTAAATATTTGTTTGCTACTTTTGAATAGTTTTGAAACGAGGAGTTAAAGTGGTGACTAGGAATATTCAAGAGGAGGATTTTGAGAGCATTCTAGTCATTAGAGAGCTATTTTTCATAGATTTTGATGATGAAGACTTATCAATTCATGATATTTGTTAATTTATCAATGAGTAACTAAGTTTCTCTAGATTAGATCTTTTTTAGATGAATTTTATTATTACTTTGTTGGGTCATATGTCTATTTGAGATTTATTGAACACTTCTATTATTATTATCTTATTTAATTATTCTTAAGTGTAATGTTTTTTTGTTCGTTAACGAACAAATTGATATTAGATACATAGGGATTTATGACCGTTAGTCTATGAATCTGACCTATGACAATTATTCAACTTAGTAATTAATTAGGAATCGGTAATTATAAATTGTTGATTTAGAATCAACGCACGTAGAACGCCTAATTTAACTCTGAATTGGTCTAAGAAATTAGGGAATTATTATGTAAATTAGTGAGATGCTCACCAAGAAATTGGGTGCATTGGTCTTGTTAGTTCCCAGTAAGATAATAATTTAATTGCAATTCAATAAATACACAGTCCATCAACATATATAATAAGAGGATTCAATATAAAAGATCTATTCGCTTTTCTCATACTGAATTTTATTCTCTTAATTTTCTCATTCTTGTTTTAGAACTAGATAAAATTAAAAACCCTCGTTGTTATTATATTACTTCCCACATAATTAATTTGTGCATCCCAAGTGGTGATATCACTGACGATTAGGTAAAATTACGTCTGTTTGATTTTTCTTTGATAGGCCGCGTGAAGGATTGGTTGCAATGCATTCCAAATTATACTATATAGACTTGGAATGAGTTGGAAGACAAGTTTCTAGAGAGGTATTATTCAAATGCTCACTTTGCAGAGAGAAGGGCATCAATTTCAAACTTTGCTCAAGAAGAGTCACTATTATGGAAAACCCATTTAACAACGGTTGAGAAAGATATATAATCATGCGGACCTAGGCGTTGTTATTTAGAGTGTCGTTGTATATATGATACTTACAATCATGGCCCAGTAATCATTGTAATAAACTGGAAATCAGCGTAAGAGATATTATAACGGTTATGATAAATAACCGTTGTTAAATTTTCTGCAGAATTAACAAATAATATGCTGCTTTTATAATTAATCCATTTTTTAACCTGTATTATTGTAATTAATCCCATTTTTTAATATTTGTGATAAAGTTATCATAATAATATTAATTGTATCATATTCATAGTATCAAATAATTGTATCATATTTAATACACCATAACATCATCACATAAATCCAAGGTAACCAATACATCAACCATTACACCATCAGTCAACATACAAACTTAATTAACTATAACGTATTTCGTCATTGTTGTTACAACAATTACAATGAACACTACAAAAAAAATCCAGGTAATCTTCAACTGTTTCTTCATAATCTTTACCTTCAACTTCAATTCCTCCTCATTGGCTTTGTAGGTGTTAATCATCTTCTTCTTCTCATTCAAGTTCTTTACCAGTGAAGAAATTATTTGTTTTGCCCTAGGATTCATCTCCTCATCCAACTAAGTAAAGTGAGAGCATTTTTTATATCCTTGAATCTTATACATCCCACAACCATAGATACGACGGCTTGGGTTCGAATCGGTCCATGTCGTCATCAACGGAGCATCGAGACCACACATGCATACGTACCTTGAACGACTTGAGGACTTTCTTTCATGGCTACAGCCGAACTGGTGAGACATTTTAATGGAAGGATTTGATGGAAACTTGAAGAAACTGGGTGAGAAGAAGACGAATAGTGACTGGGGGGAAAAGAAGACGAAAAATAATTCAAAAGGATCAAGATACACCTTTTTTAAAATTAATTGTGGATGTTGAACAAATTATGAAGTTCATTTAATTTATGAAGCTATAAAGAAAAATTGCAACGTAAATGAAGTTAACACGATAGCTTCATACTTCTTGTATTTCTCTTCATAACTATACAACCCATATGTATCAATAACAACAACATTAATCAACAACATACAATAACACAAGATATTATGTAATGTTTCAAGATACACATTTTTTTAAATTAATCGTGGAAGTCTAACACATTATGAAGTTCATCTAGTTTATGATGCTATGAAGAAGAAATATAAGGTGAATAAAGTTTACACAATAGCTTCACACTTCTCTTATTTCTCTTCATAGCTACACAAACCATATGTATTTCTCTTCATAGCTACACAAACCATATGTATTTCTCTTGTTAAGGAAGGAATCAAATGAGTGATATTGAAGCAATTTAAGGCAAGGATAGTTGCTATGGAATTCACTCATAAAGAAGGCGTCGACTTTAATGACGTGTTCTTATGTTGTAAAACACATATCCATTAGAATGTTGTTAGCCATGGTAGCCAAG